CCCCAATGGATCAAACCTCCAATTTGCTTTTTCCGGGGCGGGGAAAAAGCAAAATTGTTCAGACATTTGCTTTTTCACGGGCCTGGAAAAAACAACATGGATCAGACTTCGAGTGTGCTTTTTCCCCGGCCGGGAAAAAGCAAAATGGTCAAGACTTCCAATTTGCTTTTTCCCGGGCCGGGAAAATGCAAAATGGTTCAGACTTCCAATTTGCTTTTTCCCCGGCTGAGAAAAAGCAAAATGGTTCAGACTTCCAGTTTGCTTTTTCCCGGGCCGGGAAAAAGCAATCAGACTTCCAATTTGCCGGGAAAAAGCAAAAATGGTTCTGACTTCCAATTGTTTTTTTTCCCGGGCCGGGAAAAAGCAAAATGGTTCAGACTTTCAATTAGTTTTTTCCTAGGCCGCGAAAGATTTCAATTTGCTGGCTGGGAAAAAAGCAATTTGGCTCACAGATCCCCAGTGGCTTTCTCCAGTCTGGGAGAAATAATTCGCAACGGGAGATTCAAACCCACGACCTTCTGCTTATGATCCTGATGCCTTATCCATTAGGCCAGAGCTCCTTGATTTAAGTTTGTAAATTTGATACAAATTGCTTGCTTCTTATTTTTGTGGGCCTTGGGAAAAAGTTGAAGTCTGAGCCAAATTGCTTTTTCCAAATTTGACTCAGACTTCCAATTTGCTTTTTCCTGGGGCGGGAAAAAGCAAAATGGTTCAGACTTCCAACCCGGAAAAAGCAATCGGAAGTCTGAAGAGCAATTGTTTTTGCAGCGTGGCCAGGTCACCAACATGGCTTGCGCAAACCTTTCGCAGGACCTTCGCGAACCTTTCGCGACTGCAGTGAGAGCACACTCAAAATCAGCCTTTGAAATTCGATTACTAACAAGGAAGAGGTGGGTTTTTGAACGACGCTCATATATATAATTATATATATTGATATAATTTGAGCATCTTTGAACCACGTCTTCTAGCACAGGATTCGTTGACTTCGATCATCTTCAATCTACTTGGGCCACTCACTTCTGATCTTCACTTATTCCACGGTTCATGCTGAGATTCACATATTCGAAGAACCAGTTGGACGATACCGACCATTGAAAAATTGCATAATTATAATGTCCAAACTATTGAGAATGTTTAGAAGGTCTTCTTAGTTCCGAGGCACCGATGTATGCTTATACTATATACATTGATATCAGGCTTGCAACCAATTTCAGCTATTTAATGGTTTCCACCATGCAAGTCAACCGGTGGAACTCACACTTCCCAGTGACCCATCAGCTTTTCCACCAGTTTGGTCCATGTTCTTTTGACCCACGTGCCGCATGTGGATGCACAAGATTGGTGCCACGCACACCAACATCCTGGGTCACCACGCTGTGAAGCACTGAGCATCCTGTGAAGCACTGAGAGATGGGCGGATGTGTGGCAAAGTCCAGCGGTACGTTCGTGGCACAGCCGGGGACGTTTGTTGCGGGTCGCGAGTCGCGAAGCGACCCAGATCGACGATTTTCAGGACCGTCCACCAAGGTTCCTTTGTGGGACCCACAGGAACCAATGGTTTCTGAAGGGCTCTGATGGATGGCACTGGGACTAGGTGCCTTGTTACTAGTAGCGATGCCCTTGTTTCTGGCAGCTTCTTGTTCCTAGTAATGCCAGGAGCTACTAGTAGCTCCTTGTTGCTAGTAGTATACGGTGCCTTGTTACTAGTAGCTCGATCTTTGTGGTTCAAAGAAATCAAATGGCCGGATCCACACGAAGGCTCGCGCACCCAGCGGTCGATTTCTCCACTCCGTCGACCGAAAACTGATCGTGAATGAATTGAAAGCTCCCCAAATGGGAGAGACCAAAGGTCATTGTGGGCACAACTGAGGTCTGGGATCAAAAACATAACTGAAACCTATATTGCTGTGGGAACTCTGAATGACAGAAACCTTTTTGGTGACTTGTTCTTTTCCCATCCACGGGTCACTTCAGAATTAAATCCCAAGGATCCTCTCTGGTTCTTTCCCATCGAATGAGTCGTACTGCGACATGGATATTTGTGCACCAATTTCGTCTCACATCGAAAGATTGGACATTCGACTTCTTCTTTCATCTTCTTTTCTCTACGTGGAGCCTGAGTCTGAGGGTGTCTTGCACCTGGATTCAACCGAACATAGCACCTGAACATGTGTTCAGCACATATCATCAGAGACTCCCTTTATCTCTACCAAACAACAACAACCGTTCTCTCTTCCAATGGCGGCCGTCCCGTCGATGGCCATCCCAACTTCCCCTTCGCCTTTGAGCCCATGCGATTGGCATACTCGATGGCATGCTGATGATGGATGGCCGCATGTTCCGAGAGCCCCATGGCCTAACCACGAGGAGAAGAGCGCCGAGCTTTCGTCTCACCGCTAAACCGGTGGCTGAAGAACCGCCAATCATATTATATATGACATACAAGTATATGATATGACGATCGCTAATTATATGAATTCCAATACATCTTTATAGAGGGAATTGACTTTCTATCCATTTGGGTGTCATGGCCAGTCTTCCACCTGTCTAAGGACTTGCTACTACAGGAACAAGCCCGTAAGGGGGTTTGAGGTACTTCGTGGTCTTCAGCACTGCTTCGGCTGGTACATGAGCCACAACGGTCATGTGCGCAGTCCATATGTGGTCCAGGGAAAAAAGCCCAATGGAAACTACAATGCCCAGCCTGTTGACCCTGGGTGCAAAATCGTCCTGGCAATTCAGGTGCACGTGGCCCCCCAGGCATTGGACACTGACCGGAGCACACCATCTGACCCAGAACCTGATGGAAGCTGATGGGTTCCCAGGGTCATATGTTTGTTCTACTCTGCTGCAATCTACTATATTCATGCAGAATCCTTCAGTTCCAAACATCCTCTCAGTTTCTCCATGACGAATGGCCCACGCAAAGAAACACCTTGATCTTCGACTGGCCTGTCCAACCAGCTCGGGGACACTCCAGCTCGACCCAGCTGCCGTCACGGAGGCGACGGAAAAAAGCGACGTCATTCGCCTGGAACACGATGCCCAGGTTGGTATGGGCGATCAAGCGGCCAGTGCTATCCTCAAAAAGGGTGGAGATTCACAGGAGCTGAGCGTCTCGCTCTGAGCGAGTTGGGAGATGGAACGATTACATCTGTATCTTCTGTTCTTCTCTGTATAAGACCAACTAATTAACATGTGGTGATCAGTGGAAGTTGGAGCTGACGCCGGTGATGGAGCAGTCCTTCCTTCAACATTGTATTGATCCCGCGTCGCGAATGACACGCCTCCAGGTCCTGCCTACCTGACATACCTTTTCTATGCGGAAAGCGTGGACTGTGCTTTTCGCGTCCATCTGTCAGGTTCAGTGGAAAGAGGACGACTTCCTCGATGGGTAAAAGGAAAAAGGTGCTGCGACCTGTGCCAGACTCACAGAGTCACAAGTCATGGCCATCTAAACTGTTAACCATGATGGAACCCTTCTTTATAGGTGTTTCAGTTTCGGGTCAGTAGGCGGGTGAGTGGCTGTACAAAAGGAGTCCGTGCGTTTAAGGAGTCCTTCTGGTCACTCTGCGCTCTGCGGGTCGAGTCCCGTGCAGCCAATTCCAGGTGCTTGTTGTGATACTGGATCGCCTCGTCATACTGCCCTCAGCATCAGAATGGGGGCCTTCGAATGGGAAGGAGGTGAGGGAAACACTGAGAAACTTCAAAGCCTCCAAAAGACATGAAAGCTGTGGACAGGATGCATGGGATGTTAGCTTTCTCAAGGTGATTGATCTCACGTGACCAGTTCCGCCAGCCACAGTTGCTCTTCCCGACATGTTTGATGCTTCTAGTTGCTCCACAAACAACTTTCTTCCATTTACCACAGCTTTGGAGGGGGCAAGAAACAACCCCGAGAAGATTCTATAGAAGCAATGCGGCAGCAGGGGAAGTATCGGCCAATTCCTCCCTGCTCTCTTTGTTGGGAAGGTGCATATCGTCTGCACGTGTCGTTGTGTGAACAAACAGGGACTTCGCTCAGGACATTTCAGGAACAAAAGAACGATCCACCGCCAAACGGGGGGGTGTTCCGTCGGCCACCCTCCCTTTAGTACGACTGACATACGAGTGGTTTGAGTAGGGTTCAGAATCTACTTTCATGATTAGCTCCGGATGTTTGGTTGACGGACACGGACATCGCACTATATGGTGTTCTGCGGGTGGTCGGTGGATGTGTTTTGTTTGCGCTTCGTTCTGAAGACGAAACTTGAGACAGGGAAAAACGAGACAGGTAGAGAGTCACTCAAGGTAGCTCTTGCCCGGCATTACCAGGCGACCTTTCGTGAAATGTTCCTCTTTTTCCCTTCTGGATTCAGACTAAACCACTTCCAGGTTTGTGGGCGGGGCCGGAGGCTGCTCCATCTCGGGCCCGAAATCGGGGTTGCTCCGTGGCCTTCTCAGTTTCTCATCCAGTGGAGCGGAGCAGCTTCAAGGGAATAAATCGAGAGGAAGTTTCAGGGGTTTTCATGCCCAAGACGATGAGACAGAAGTCACATGGAGTTGGATGGTTTTGAGTCCCATCCAGTGAGTGGATGTTCTGGGCACCCTCATCCTCCGAGTTCGGCACCCCGTCTTCTGATTCCTGGGGTTTCTTGTAATTGTTGTTCCCTTACTATATTACTGTATATTAAATCAATTCTGGGATTCACCGGTGACACGCCAAGTGAGTTGTTTGGGGGCAGTTGAAGCCCAGGGCCATCCCTTGCTCTCCGGTTGCCTTGGAGGCTCCCCTTTGGTCCAAAACGGTCCGAGCGTGGTCCATCAATATCGATTGAACACATTAGGACATTAAAGCCGAGTCCCCCAGGCCACCGCCTGGACTGATCAGCTGGCTATCCCCTTTTCCACCGACGCAGCTCCAAAAACCGGCATCATTGTGACGCCCCATGGCCACAGCAGGGAGGCCTCTCAGGTCTCCACCTGCCATGCTGTACGAAGACCAGCTCCACTAGCGGTTTTGTGGGGCCAACTGACACCGTTGAGAAAAGATTGCAGAGATTCGCCGGGCCAAAAAAATCGCTGACCATGTGAGACATTCAATCTTACATCACTCTCTGACGATGTGGTTAGCAATGCAAGTTCAACCTTCTTAGATCGTTTTTAGGACACTAACTTACAATTGATAGTTGCTTGTTGAGATCTGTCTCCCTTGACCATGGTTGCATGATTTTGGCTGGCTCGTCAGGGAATTTCGTCGGGACCGGCGCAAGGAGTGCTTTGCAAAGCAGCTGTGTTGGTCTTGAAGCTCGTATAGTGTCCAGTTCTATGCTGCATGATGCTGCATGCAGCAAACCCAGGTTTACTGTAGTTGCCACTAGTCTCACTAGAGCAGGTACCGCCCACTGCCATTGAATCACCAGACTGCGTGTGCAAAACGCTCCCCGTGCCTGCCCTACGCCACCCCGCCGGAGCTAGCCAAGCACGAATTCCTGGAACTCTTGTCTCAGCAGCTTGTCTGACGACTTCCTTCAGTTGCCCAAGAACTTCAAACATGAAGCTCAAGCTCCCTAGACTGTGACTAGGCCCTAATGCGCACATAGGATTAAGTAACCACCCCCTATTAATCAATCCCAGCTCGACCCCTCCAATACTAAACTAATTGAACACCTAGATTTCCACCTTGGCATCACCCTAATATTTTTTTCCTGTGCAGAAACCTCCCCCTATTCATCAATCCCAGCTGCCCCCCCAAAAATAAACATATTGTTTACTATTTATAGTTCTTTTATATTACATTCTTTTGGCTAGGCTCCAATATCCTTATATATATATATATATGTAAAAAAAAATTGTTTGCTAGTATTCAATATCTTCATCTCCTCATCTTCCTGATTCTCACCGCCACCTCTCAACTGCCTCATCCTGCTCACCAATCCTTTTGATGGCTTCTCCTGAGGTCTCATGCTACCAACCATCCCCAAAACCCCAACAACTCTCTAGCAAAAGCCTTTCATTTTCCATTATTAAAACTCTATCAACATCTTAACTGTTTCAAGCTCACAAAGGGTACCCCTCACAGAGGCCCTACCCCCCCCAATAGTAGGACCACCTCCCCCTATTAATCAATCCCAGCTGCCCCAGAAAAAATATACAGTAGTATACTTTGTATTTGTAATTCTTTAGTGTTTTTTTTTTGGCAGTATTCAATATATTCATCTCCTCATCTTCCTGATTCTCACCACCCATTCCATCTTCCTCATCAGTTCACATCCTATCCCATACGCTCCCTTGGAAAAACAACCCATGAATCAATCTAACATGAACACTCATCCAAAAGTTCTCATGTGGTTTCCAACTCTTCCAACCCTTTCATCCCTTTCATCTCAATTCCCTTTTCATCTCAATTCTTCCAAATACTAATCCCCTTTCAGCCCAACTCTTCCAAATACTAATTCCCGTTCATCTCAATTCTTCCAAATACTAATTCCCTCTCAGCCCAATTCTTCCAAATACCAATTCCCTGTCATTCCAATTCTTCCAAATCATTCTCTTTCATCTCAATTCTTCCAAATACTAATTCCCTTTCAGCCCAATTCTTCCAAATACTAATTCCCTTTCATTCCAATTCTTCCAAATCAAATTCCCTTTCATCTCAATTCTTCAAAATACAAAATCCCTTTCAGCCCAATTCTTCCAAATACTAATTCCCTTTCATTCCAATTCTTCCAAATCAAATTCCCTTTCATCATCAGGTCGTCAGCTTTATTGGGGGGGATGTGATCTCCAAAACCTCCAATCTCAAACCTTGTTGACCTTGTTGACCTTGAGAGGGGGGGGGGCCGTTGATTAATCCTACGTCGACATTAGTAGACTTCCTTTTCGGGTAACGACCATATTAAATATCTTCTTGGACCCGGGTAAATCTGTCCCCAAGAAAAGTCATCCAGGTTGGCCCAATTAGCTCATTGTAGCTCTACAGCTTTCGCCGCTGTTCTGAACTCAATCGGAGACCCTTTTCGGTCTCCAGAGACACGTCCCCGCCAAGCTGAGCAAGCTTTTCCAAAGATTTTTCCTTTGTCTCTTCATGTCTGTTCACATGAGTTTTTTGTGGTTTTTCTCGAGCGAAGCCTCACTGAGATGGTACCACGGTCTTTCTTTCATCGACACGGACTGTCATCGCAGCCGAAAAGTCCAACACATGACATGACTCGTGCCATGGCTGTCCGAGACACGTATCGAGTTCCATGCTTTTTTGGTTGAGCACCAAACACGCCTCACAGCTCAATACGAGGTTTACAGTAGCCGTAGAGCGGTGCTTTGGACCGTATAAAAGGGCCGGAAAGGGCAGGTGCAGTGCAATGCATCCGAGATTCTTCCATGACTCCCAAGCTGCAAAAGGCCTCCTCCCCGTGGAAGACATCTTTTGGAAGTGGTGCGCGTGCCGCGGAGCTCAATCGAATGGCCAAATGATGGCGATGCAAAGAAACAAAAACTACAAACATCTAGAAACTGGGGATATCCAGCTTGTATGCCCCAAGCAAGTGTGTTTGACCAACACTTGGACCAACACTTTGACCAGTCTTGAATGCCCTGCTTCTTGGACTACTCACTGAACCGACGTCGCATAAGGTCCGACGTCGGATGTCTCATGTGGCATGAGTGCAACCTGCAATCTCTCCGGCACACATGGAACAGGATCCGCAAGCAAGGGACATCAACAAAGGTCGGCGGTCGAACATCTGACAGCTTGTGACGTCGCTGTGGAAGGTATCTTGGACAACTTTGTGAAATGTGGACTGCCAATTAGATACCCCCCCCCGGATTAATGTCTGCAGTTGTTTTGTTGGATTAATAACCCCCCGGATTGATGTCTGCATCGGTGCTTCCGGACCAACCATGACCGAAGGAAGCTGCCTCCCGAGTCCCGAACTGATCTTCGGAGAGAAACTCCCCGCCGGATCCGTGATGTTCGAGGTTCATCGAACAAAGCGACCACTGGAGCAATCTGGACCACACTTCGGGCCCGTTGGGTCTTTTTCAGACTCACCCTGGGACCGCTCCAGCCAGGCACGTGCAGCCTCAGCACCATGCACGGCTCGTGGCCATACCAATTAGAATCTCTTGCAGTTGATAGACAGAAAATCGAGTGCCGAGTCGACCGCGCGCGGGAGGGGAGTGCTGTCGTCTTTTTGAAGGACTGGGACTGACTTCAAGGACTGAGTCAATCAGCTGATTGAACAGGTGGATCTGCGGGTGCCAGACACACTCGGACGTTCGTGGTGAGTTAAACTGGGGGCATCTCCCAGTTCGACCCCCTGGAAGAAGGGAAATAGACCAACACCCCATTGGTTGGGGGATGTTGGGGGTCTCCCTATTCACACCCAATATGCTTCTAGGCAAGGCACTTTGGAGCATAGTTTGCAAGTGATTGTTTTCGTCTGGGCGTCAAAGTATCTTTCACAATTTATTGAAGTTATTCTGTCTTTCTTTGAAAAAAACTAGCCAAAGAATTTCGGAGCAAGCCCCAGATGGGAGCACACCCAACACCGGAGCTTTGGACGGAGGACTGAACATACAGAAGTTCCCGGCCCTAATCTTCTCTCGTCATGTTATCTTCTTGTTCAGAAACAAAACACAACTCATGTTTTGAACCGAAACATCTAAC